GATTAAAACTAGCATTGAAGTTCTCATAGATCGTCTAAAAATTCAGAAAATCCTTTTCTCATTTTGTGCAAGGTGTTTTACGTTCTCTCCCCCCTCCCTTTTAGATAACTATTTCAATACATCGAACAGCAATATATAAACATTCAACAACAATACTGCAAAATGATCCCCTTAAAAGCGTTTCACAACAGATACCTTAATCTTACGATCGATCGCGCTGGTAAATAAACACAGCCTCTGGTTGCCATATTTATCTTAAAAATGGGGCATTCGCGCGTTCGTTGCAAAAGGAAGAGGGAGACTCTCGCATCCCTCGATCGTTCTTCCCGTAGATCCCGTGGATCGCTTTAGAATTCCACGGGCTCGCCGGCAGTTCCATCGGAAATGTAGCTCCAGCGTCTGTAATCGGTCGCAAAGCCGACCCATTTGCAATACTGTGTCTCTCCGGAGCCCGGAGAGCTCGTCCCGCCGCGCGCGGCGCGCCGCGCGCCGCGTTGCGTAAGGTCGACCGTAACTTTATCCCATGGTGTATGCCAGCCAACTTCGACCATTACGGGGGTACATTATACCGCCTTACAACGTGAGCCGCGTACGCGATCGCGGTCGCCCTGGCTCTCTCTCTCTCTCTCTCTCTCTCTTGCGTTCTCTCTCTCTCTCTCTTGCGTTCTCTCTCTTGCGTTCTCTCTCTCTCTCTCTCTTGCGCTTCTGACTCTTGCGCGCTCTTTCTCTCGCTCTCTCTAATCGCGCTCTCTCTCTCGCTCTCTCTAATCGCGCTCTCTCTCTCGCTCTCTCTAATCGCGCGCTCTCTCTCTCGCGCGCTCTAATCGCGCGCTCTCTGTCGGGCTTCTGACTCTCGCGCGCTCTCTCTCTCGCGCTCTCTCTCGAGCGCTTTCTCTCTCGCGCTCTGTCTCTCGCGCGCTCTGTCTCTCGCTCTCTCTCTCTCTCTCCTAGTCTCTCTCTCTCGATCTCTCTCTCGTCTATTTCGTCGCGTTTTCAAAGCTCTCGGTGCGGCAGCTGCCTCGGAACCGTGTCATAACTGCGAGAGAAGATCTTACGTTACGTCGCGGGGCATCGGTCGCCGCGAACGGGACGCCGCGTTTCACGGAATTGGAAAACGATACAGCGACGCTTTCCGCGGGAAATGCGGCCGCCTGATGATCCAAGGAAACGAGTCCCCGGTGTTGTCGTTCGCCGGCGACCGAATTTATTCGGGACGAGGCGCGGCGCTCGGTTTCCATACAAAACGCGGGACTAAAATTATTGAACAAGTGAAATTGTGTATTTAAGCTGTAGTTTTTTATTTTATATTACGTGTATTTGGGTTTTTGTTTTTTTTTGGTGGAATAATGGAAATAGATAGCGGTGTTTTTAGTGCTTAGAGAAAAATTTTTGTTAATAATATAGTTGTCTGTTTTGATTCAGTTTAAATGGGCGAATGGTTAAAAAGAGCGTTGTAAATTATTATTTAATTATTGTTCAATGGCTTGTTAGCCATAGTGCTTATAAATAAATTTGTTAAAAATACAATTTTCCATTTCAATTCAATTCAAATGAACGAATGGTAAAAAAGATCATGATAAATTATGACTAGTAAGTAGTAAACAAATTATGCGTTCCGGGGATATTTTTTAAAACTTGAATTTCGTTTGCTACTCTTCCTCCTAGAGTCACGAATTAATTAACGTTAATTAACTAAAAAACGTTAATTCTATTTTTCGCGAATTGTATTTCGTTTCCCAGCTGGGCCGGGAATTCGTGGACACCCGGTACAGCAGAAAGTACCAAAGGGGAAGTTGTCCGTAAAATAATTCCGGCACCTTTGGGAGGCCCTTCTGTTTCATTAATAACAACGGGACGAAGGTGGCGGACGATTATTCGAGCCACTTGCGCGGACACCGGGCAGCACTTATGAATAAACAAAGCGACGTTAACGCGTTATGAATAATTAAACTGCACTCGAGACGCGGACACTGTGTGCATTTAAACGCGGCGCCGCGCCGTCTGATGCTCCGACCGCTCCGATATGCACCCAGTGTGCATAATCTGCTTATGAAGAATATTAGTTCGTCGATTCGACGTTTCTTTATAATATACATATCATAATATATATTGTAATTTCATTCTAATTATATTTTCGTTTCATTTTCATTTATTATATTTTTCATAGATATAATATAATATATGATTTCATTGTAATATATAGATATAGTATAATATATGATTTCATTATAATATATAAATATAATATAATATATAATTTCATTATAGTATATAGATATAATATAATATATAATTTCATTATAATATATAAATATAATATAATATACAATAACTTGAAAAATTTGAAATAATATTTATATAATATAAATATAAGATTGGCAATACAGCATTCAGCGACTGAAAATAAGAATTATATTAAAAATGTGATAGGAAAAGAATTGATTTCATCTATTTTATCGCATAAAGGAAATGCAGGGCAGAACCAGCGAATGGATTTTCAAAAATGTAAAATAGAATTTTTCTAGAATGCGTTTATTTTGTTCACAGTGGAATACAAATTAATCGTTGCAGAGCGTAGCAGAGGAAGATTAAATTTTCTACGAGAAAGGCGAGAAAAGACGCACGATGCTCAATTTCCACATCCGTTTTCTTTATTTTACCGATTTTCGTGCCATGCGGTTGACATCGAACGGTTAGAACTCATGGGGGCAACTTTCGCGAGCAAGTGTTTTAACCCAGAATCTTCGCGACGTAGCAGTCGGTGTACTTGTTGCCGATGACGCACTCGTCGGTTTCTCCTTTGACTGTAATGGAAACAGATACTTGCTTGGAAAAGAATGAAAAAATACGTGTACGTGCGAAAATTGTTTTTAGTACTATGACAGCACAAAGCACAAGAGTTAGAAGTGCATAAAGTGACATAACAAGTCAGGGACTTGGGGCAAGCTGCCACTTAAAGGACTCCGACTTAACGAGCGGTCCTTTAGGATAAGAGCGCCAATTACCGTGCCCATTGAAGCGGTGTCCAAAGTTCTCGACGGATTAAATAGCTTTTCTTTACCTAAATCGCGCTTCTTAAAATATTTCAATTATATGAAGAGATTCCTGAGGTGATTTCAAGCAACTTTTTTCTTAGCGAAAATGCGATACGACGCTTCGTTTGCGAGTTATTCGCGAAAAACGCTGACCCAATGAGATATCGCGTACGGCTGGTGCCACGCCCTCGCGGCCACCGCCGCTGCGCCAGATGGCCAGCGCGGCGCCACATTGGTCGCGTGGGCGGAACGCCGGCCGCGATCGCGCTCCGGTCCACGTTTTTCGTTGATAACTCGTGAACGAAGCCTCGGAGAACATTTCTGTAAAAGAAAAAGTTGCTTCGAATGATCTGAGGAACCCATATATCTGGATTGCGAGACATTTTTGGGACATCGCCTTGCTTTCACGACAATTTCAAAGCGTTCTTGCTTCTACGATGATCAATGATTTCGTTGTTTTCTTTGTTAACAATTTGGTAAAATTGTATCTTCAGAGAATATCACTCTGTTGAATTTAGAATTAGTTTATATATTACACTATAACTTACTGTCAGCCACGCATGCATCAGCAATCGCTGTCACATCTTTGATGTCTTGATCATTTCCAGCGTGCACTACGCTGATCATTTTGTAGATCGGCTCGATGTGGAAGTCGGTTCCAGTCAACTGTCGCAGAAATAAATGCATTGATTCAACTTTAATTGTTACTTATTAATCATCGTTTAATTGCCTGTTATTTATAATTTATTCGGCACAACGTGTCCAGTAGACATAGTCAAAAAATAATGCTCCTCGATCGCTCTAAGAAATCGCGAAATCATCGAGTGAACGAAGCGAACGCGAGTTTTTCAATAATAATAATAATAATAATAAAAAATGAGAATTAATATTTATCGACACGACCAACGAAAAGAGCAAAATAAAAACAAAAATTACTTGCATTTTTTGTCACCTAAATTCGAGAACAAATTGTAACATCAAATCAACGTACAAAATATTAAACAAATAAACATAGAAAGTCTAAATTTCTTTCTAAAAATCCGATAAATTATCAAACAAATAAATACGGAGAGAGTAGCAAAAATGATTTCTAATCAAGTAATTTCCTAAAAATCGCGACGCGAGATAACATTTTACTCTAAAAAAATCGGACAAACAAATAAACGATAAATAAATTATTTACGGAAAATCGTTTAAGATGCGATATTTAAAAAAAAAAAACGAGGTACACTCACTATGCCGATTCTCTTCATAACGCACGCCTTCAGGCAGCCCATTTGTCTCTGGTCGACTTCGCCCGCGCGCTGGATATTCGTGAATTGTTCTGCAACGAGAAATAAAAAAACGAACATGTCCACCGGTTTCACTTAATCCGCGTCACACGACGAACCAGACGTATTCTGTCCGATCGTTCGCCGAAAAGTAAATTATCTAGATCGTTTTATTATAATAAACTTGATCCAATTTTTTACAATAATTTTTTATAATAAACTTGATCCAATTTTTTACAATAATTTTTTATAATAAACTTGATCCAATTGTTTATAATAATTTTTTATAATAAACTTAAATCCAATTGTTCACCTTGCGTCAGCTTGAACTCGTCCGCGCATGGTTGAACGTCCGGCATCAGGTACTCCATATATTTCGGTATCACGGTGTCTTGGTCTATACCGCGCACCGAAGCCTGAAAACGAAGCGCACAACGACTTGCGATTGTTCACGGATCAGACGCGAAATTTAATAAATAATAAAGCATCGAAATAAAGCCTGTAAGCCGGGGCCGCGAGTCTTTTGTCTCGGTTTTTTCTTTCCTTTGGGGACGCGAGGCAAGTGCTGGTATTACTGCGGTTTCTCAACGAAGTGCGAACTTTCAGAAAATAATAGAGATAATAAATATTATCTCTCTATGGTAATATATAGAGATAATAATGTTATTATTATATTATTATTATTATATTATAATAGTAATATTGTAAATATCTATTATAATAGGAAATATATTATCTATTATAATATAGGGGTAATAATATTATTGTATTATTATTATATTATAATAGTAATATTGTAAATATCTATTATGATAGCAAATATTATCTATTATAATATAGAGGTGTAATAATATTATTGTATTATTATTATATATTATAATAGTAATATTATAAATATCTATTATAATATAGGAGTAATAATATTATTATATTATTATTATTATTATATTATAATAGTAAATATTATCTAAATATAATCTATTAATATTTTTCGTTCTAATTATAAACAGAGACTTCTATCGACCTCCCATTCGTCTCTTCTCTCAAACACGAGAGAGAATTATTGGAAGACTAAGCGAAAGAAGAATCTCATTTTCTCGGCTTAATTAACTGTAACGATTAATAATCGGAAGCGACGCACATAAGAACAATTTTATAAGAACAATTTTTCAAAACCACGATTTTGTATCTCAACCGACTGACTATATATATTATTTTGTCGAATTAGCCACGCGCAAATCACTATGAACAGATCGTTCGAAATATTTTGGGCGCCCCGTGCACCCCACTGCGCGTCGTCGAAACGATGCGTCGAGCAATTAACGAGCAGATCTGACCGCGGCTGACTCACCACGGCGGCTAATAGGATAGCTACAGCGACGACACTCTTCATTCTTCTAACAGCATCAATGGTACTAAAAAAAAAATAACTCAACGAACACGCGAGATTTCGTCGATATCTTTTTTTATCGCCGACTGATGATCGCGGTTCCCTCGGGAACGACACTTATATAGGGACACGGAATGGCCAGGTGTTCGGAGCTGACACCGTGCAACAGGAAACGAGATAATTCCACGATTTAAATCGATTTACGTAAGCCCGTAAGTCAAGTACACCCGAAACGTTCTCATTAGTGTTCGGCTCGTGTCAGAATCGCGTCGCGTCACACGATTGTTTTGCAATCACGGAACGGAGGCTTTACGGGATAATTATGGGGGATCGGATGATTGCGGCGTTACGGTTGTCGCGCGCGGTCTGTGATTTCCGAGATCCGGGGCGACGCGAAATCGAGGAACTTTCGATAGATAATCCGACAACGCGACGATTCCTTTTTATTTTTATGTTGAAGCTGATATTTCGCAGATCGAGGGAAAAATAGAGAGAACAAGTGGTATGAACGGTTTTTAGCCTTACCCTCGACATTACTGAGGTCGTTTGATGCAACTTTTTCCTTTACAAAAATTTTCTACGAGGCGTCATTTACGAGATATTAAAGAAAAACGAGGGCTAATGAGGGGTGAGCGCGCCTGGCGCTAGGCTGGCGCCAGCCGAGCTCGCCTCTCATTGGCCAATGCTTTTTCGTTGATAACTCGTGAACGAAACGTCGGAGAAAATTTTTGTAAAGGAAAAAGTTACTTCGAATCACCTCAGGAACTCCTCATTTTCCGGAAATACCATAATTTTGGGATACACTGTATTTATAAACTTATCCTGTGTGAAATTAAATCGGTAAAAATACTTTTACGCGCTTTCTGATTATAATCTTCTGTCGTAAGAACCTAATCGAATGCTTCGATCGATATTCGAAGCGATTTTTGCGATTAGAGCACAAACTTATATTTTTATTCGTTTACTTGAACAGCATAAGATCAACGTTGTAAAACATGAAAGAGCGAAAGCCTTTGCACTGGATACAGCGAATCTTGCGTTCGTTTAATACACGAACATGGACAGATAACGACGGATCTTAGGGAACAGGAAACGAAGCTTGCGATTCGAACGCGCGCGATACATTAATTGGCAGAAAAATTCTCGAATTTCACGCTAATAAATGAACTCGTAGCTCTGGTCGGGAAAAAACGCGTGATACACGTTCGAAGTTGAACGCGGCGGACCGACCTCGTCCTCCGTGCAGTCCGATAGTGTGCTCGAAATTGGCCTCCTCGTTATGCTCCCATGAAACATTTGACGAAATAAAACGTCATCTTGCACTCGTCGGATATGGATTTGGCTGAAACGAATAAAGGATTCGTTGCGGAATTCGTTGACATTGTCGAATCTTGTGTTCCATGACTCACCTTTTTCGTTGCATTCGGCCGCCTCTTTTATCTTCACGGAAGTCATTTCCGGATCCTTCAGGTATGCGATCTTAATGAATACGTTCACCATCTTCGGGTTCAGCGTCGAGTCTTTCAACTTGAAATCGCGAAAAGAAATTTGTCATTTTAAAGATCCGCGAAATCGATGCGATTTTGATAATAACTTATGGCTTTTTCTTTGCGCCTTACCACGCCCAATCCCTTCATCGCGCAGGCACTCAAGCACGTGGCTTCATCCAAGGTCTTTCGAATCTCCTTGAAGTATATTTCTCGAGGTGTCACTGGTTTGTTTAAATAAAGCAGAATTTTTCAACGGATACAAGAACAGATCGAGAAACATGTAAAATCGAAGAGAATTTTGTACTTACCTTCGGTGAAACCATTTTCCTTCGCACACGCGAGAAGCGGCTCTCTGCCAATGTTCAAGAAGACGTCGACAATGTCCGCCTCGACGAACTAAATTGTACGAAAAAATGATCAATGATGAATTCTAAACCTAGTTTATTATTCCTCCAGTGCGTAGGCGATGCAAATTCACTTAAAGAAATGGGATCGAATACGCTGTCTATATTTTTGTTAATTAATATATCGCCTTCTATAAGCAACGATACGATTTACATTCAGTTTTGGAAGAATCTCCCTGAAACGTATGCACCAGTGGCTTTCGATTGTACTATTGAACATTTTCAAGGAATCGAGGTTATATTTTATATCGATAATTATCATTATAAGAATCAAAAGTCTATTCTAGAATATTCGTTCCATAGAAATAATTTTTATTGGCGCACAACGTTTTCTCTGAAGTGGAGAACTTCTTTTAAGTAATTCTCTTTTGAAATAATAATTTCAGAAGTAATTAACACTTGATATTGAATCAATGATTTGTTGAATTACGGATAAAATTGTTACCGTCTTCGAAGATTTCTTAAAATAATTTCTCAACTGTTGCTCTTCAATTTTAAAATGACTATTATACAGATAGAAACTAGATAACGATAGAAACTAAAAATTCTAGAATGATCTGCTTATTCCAATATTTCTGTCTCCAAAGTAATTACCGAATTAAGATAAGAGCGAGCGACAAAAGGACAAAAATTTACAGCGAACAGCGTCGATCGAAACGAACGAGGGACTCACGATTTTTTACGCGTCTTACGACCCTAATCTATGCACTGAAGGGAAAAATGTCTTATTTGGAATCGTTTTATCAACCTTTGTGTTAACAGCGGCGGCGACTACGACCGCAACGACTATGACAATCTTCATTCTGACGAACTCTTCTTAGCAACTTCCGCGAATGGAAAATATTCGTGATCGACTGATGTCTCTGATCCGTCGGGCCTATTATTTATATCGCGGGAGCAATCGTAAGAAACGTCTATAAAAACCTGAACTGATTCGCTTGTTATTGAAAGAAACATCGATTATGCTCGGCCGTTGCAATTACAATTGCTAAATGCTAATAATTTCCATTATTTTATGCGTTGCAAAAAGTATTGTCTTTCATTAACTTTGCGACCGAGTTATCACTTAAAATACCATAATCGTTTCTCGAGCCATATATTTACGTCGTTCACAATGTAATTTATTCACTAATACAGCGCGAATCGTGCACGATACGATGTAGCAGCATTAATTAATTGATACAATCTTGGAAATCGAACATCCTCGCACCCAGAATTTTTTGTTAATACAGATCTTGGACGAATCATGTCAATCAACAAACATGTTTTCTTCGTGTAATGCAACGAAGCTGATTTCCATGCAACTATATTATCCGGATGCTCGCGATTGCTATAATTTAACTTAAACTTCAACTTTAGTTTTGTTGATAATTCGACGGATTTGTAAGTCGAATTTTACAGCCGAAGCAAAGGGTTAATATCGATGGGTTAATCTTGAGACAAGTTCTTCGTTCAATGTCCTCGTTTTATATCGTATCTTTGAAGCGTAACTTTTGCTTTTCACTTATCCGTTGCGATCGCCAGTTTAATTAATAACAGAAACAAGAAACGAAGCTTGCGATTATACCATAATTTTGGGACACCCTGTATTCATAAACTTATCCTATGTGAAATTAAATCGGTAAAAATACTTCTACGCGCTTCCACATTATAATCTTCTGTCGTAAGAACCTAATCGAATGCTTGGAGCAATATTAGAAGCGACTTTTGCGATTACGGCGCAAATTTATATTTTTATTCGTTTACCTGAACGGTATAAAATCAACATTGTAAAACATGAAAGAGCGAAAGCCTTGGAGATTACTGAGGTCATTTGAAGCAACTTTTTCCTTTACAAAAATGTTCTACGAGGCGTCGTTCACGAGTTATCGACGAAAAACAGTGACCAATGAGGGGCGAGCGCGCCTGGCGCTAGGCTGGCGCCAGCCAAGCTCGCCACTCATTGGCCAGTGCTTATTCGTTGATAACTCGTGAACGAAGCGTCGGAGAAAATTTTTGTAAAGGAAAAAGTTACTTCGAATCACCTCAGGAACTCCATATTTTCCGGAAATACCATAATTTTGGGGGATACACTGTATTTATAAACTTATCCTGTGTGAAATTAAATCGGTAAAAATACTTTCACGCGCTTTCTGATTATAATCTTTTGTTGTAAGAACCTAATCGAATGCTTCGATCGATATTCGAAGCGATATTTGCGATTACAGCGCAAACTTATATTTTTATTCGTTTACTTGAACAGCATAAGATCAACGTTGTAAAACATGAAAGAGCGAAAGCCTTTGCACTGGATACAGCGAATCTTGCGTTCGTTTAATACACGAACATGGACAGATAACGACGGATCTTAGGGAACAGGAAACGAAGCTTGCGATTCGAACGCGCGCGATACATTAATTGACAGAAAAATTCTCGAATTTCGCGCTAATAAATGAACTCGTTGCTGGTCGGGAAAAACGCGTGATACGCGTTCGAAGCTGAACGCGACGGACCGTCCTCCTCCTCCGGGCAGTCCGATAGTGTGCTCGAGATTGGTCTCCTCGTTATTCCTCCATGAAACATTTGATGAAAGAATACGTCATCTTGCACTCGTCGGATATGGATTTGACTGAAACGAAGAAAGTATTCGTTGCGGAATTCGTTGACATTGTCGAATCTTGTGTTCCGTGACTCACCTTTTTCCACGCATTCGGCCGCCGCTTTTTCCTTCACGGAAATCTTCTCCGGCTCCTTCGCGTACGCGATCTTAATGAATATGTTTAGCTTCACCGGGATCAGTTCCGAGTCTTTCAACTTGAAATCGCGAAAAGAAATTTGTCATTTTAAAGATCCGCGAGAACGATGCGATTTTGGAAATAACTTATGGCTTTTTGTTCGCGCCTTACCGTGCCCAATTCCTTCATCGTGCAAGCACTCAAGCACGTCGCTTCCTCCAAGCTCCTTTGAACCTCCTTGTCGTATATTTCACGAGGTGTCTCTGGTTTGTTTAAATAAAGCAGAATTTTTTAATGAATACTGACGATCGCTGACGATCTTTTCCGAGCGTCGATTAGTGGACCGCGATTTTTATGTTCTTAAGATAAAAACAGATCGGGAAAACTTGCGGAGACGTTAGAAACGTTGAAGAACGTTCCTGCGTCCGTCACAGTTTATTAGAATTCTTAATAACTGTTCACTTACACATAATATAATTTAATAAAATAGTTTTTATTTTGCGCAAAGTCCGGCAATCTGGTTTTTAGTCAATAAAATAGTCGCGAAAGAGTGTTCAGACGTCAAATGATATGGTTTAAACGTGTAAAAACGAAGAGAATTTTGTACTTACCTTCGGTGAAGCCATTTTCCTTCGCACACGCGAGAAGCGGGTCTCTGGCAATGTTCAAGAAAATGTCGACCATGTCCGCCTCGACGAACTAAATTGTACGAAAAAATGATCAATGATGAATTCTAAACCTAGTTTATTATTCCTCCAGTGCGTAGGCGATGCAAATTCACTTAAAGAAATGGGATCGAATACGCTGCCTATATTTTTGTTAATAAATGTATCGCCTTCTATAAGCAACGATACGATTTACATTCAGTTTTGGAAGAATCTCCCTGAAACGTATGCACCAGTGGCTTTCGATTGTACTATTGAACATTTTCAAGGAATCGAGGTTATATTTTATATCGATAATTATCATTATAAGAATTAAAAGTCTATTCTAGAATATTCGTTCCATAGAAATAATTTTTATTGGCGCACACCGTTTTCTCTGAAGGGGAGAACTTCGTTTAAGTAATTCTCTTTTGAAATAATAATTTCAGAAGTAATTAACACTTGATATTGAATCAATAATTTGTTGAATTACGGATAAAATTGTTACCGTCTTTGAAGATTTTTTTAAAGAATTTCTCAACTGTTGCTCTTCAATTTTAAAATGACTATTATACAGATAGAAACTAGATAACGATAGAAACTAAAAATTCTAGAATGATCTGCTTATTCCAATATTTCT